TATATATATATATATATACATATACACACAGATGCAGCCTGAAGCAAGTTACCTTAAACCCCATCACAACTCTCTCTGTATGTGTTTCAGTTCTCAATGCTCTCAGCACATCTTCAAAATAAGCAAAGTATCTCCTTACCTTCACTTAAGCTACCCGTGTTTCCTGTGAGCGTCCCGCTTAATTCCCTAAAGCGCAGCCAGCATGCGTCCTGCTCAGGAGGAAAAGAGGGAAATCCCTGCATCAGACAGACATCTCCCAGGCTCCGGCGTGGTGTTTCACTCTACACACACTGGAGCGCATTCTCCCACATGCTGCCACTTGCATGCCTAGACCAGACTGTGGGCTGAGCAGGAGGGTGTGTGTGCTCTGCCTGAGTCTAGGCCCGCCCTCTTTTCTCTGGTTTCCCCTCTTCTCTCACACAGTTCTCATCTTCTTCCTCCTTTCCTGGTTGTTTGTTCTCTCTCTCTCTCTCTCTCTTCCTCTCTCTCTCACTCGCTCACTCACTCACTCACTCACTCGCTCACTCGCTCACTCGCCTCCCCTGGCTTGGCAATTTGACTGTCAGCATGGGTGCTGGGTTTGTGCCTCTAAGCCTTTAGATGTCCCAGTCCTCTGTTTAATTACTGCCTCTCTGGCCTCAAGCTCTGCACACAAACAAAGACAAAAATTATACAAGGGACAAGCCATAGCATGCAAGGAAACCATCTGCCAGCAAGCAACACTGTCTAATGTTGTAAGTCTGATTATTTCTTCTTTTCAGGACACAGATGATCTAATCAGCACAGTGTGAATAGTAAGTGGGTGGAAACTGCTTTTACTTATGTAACTTCAAAAGATTACTAGAAATAGAGAGATGGTTTGGGTTAAAAGATGATAAAAAATGATTAATGAATAACTAGAAAGATGTTTCATTTTGAAAAACGCTTCTTAATGTGCCGTTATGTGTATGATGCAGCTGCTTTTACTCTTTGCTTTCCGTTTGTTTCTTTATTATTAATACTCTGGATCTGCTACATGATCAGAGCAAGTTTATCTGTTCTACTGGTCTAGTCAAAGTACAGGCCTAAATGTCACTAAGAATCTTTAGCAAAACTTGAAAATTGGCGTTTGAATGACCTTGAGGTATTATGCAGGGATAATTAAGGAAAATATTAGTTGAAGTTAGAAAAGATGGTAGGAGAATACGTTAAAAAAAAAAGTAACTTTATACAGATCAGAAATATCTCAAGTTTTTGTATAAAAAAAATAGATTTGATAAGCAATTTAGAAACTTTTTCCACATACTTTGTGGCACTCATCCTGTGAAAGCAAATATATATTTACTATATATATTTACTAAAGTACCTGGTTACACAAATACAAATATCCTTTAACTGATGCTTTGTTTGAGCACCTGCTGATCCAGCATACAGTCTTTTTGGGTTAACACCCACCACCCATTATAGTGAACCTCAAAACCCCTGAAATAAAGTTAAACTGATTTGCTTAGAGGGTTTTTCTGACATCTTCCTCATTTAGCAAAAGCCATTTTTATTGCAGAGGTACAGGATCTCATTGCAAAACTGAAATGGATAAAAAAAATTATCTACAGCCCAAAGTACAAACTATGACACAGTAATGGGGCTCACCAATACATGAAGGACATGTGGAGCAACAGGGACATTGCAAAAACTGGACATTTCTCAAAAGTTGACGAAACGACAAGGGAGGCAGACATGAGGCTGACAGCAGCACTGGAAGAGATGCAGGAATTTCCGACAAGTGCTGGTTATGTTCTACATTTGCCAGCCATCTACTGGATTCCCCACATCAGGACTAAGCAGTAAGGCTGCGAGATTGAATTCGTCATGATGAAACTGAACTTAAAACTTTGGGCAACATTGTAGCTCGGCAATCTTGAATTGTACAAACTAAGGTAGAAGTGATAAACACATATACAATTTCAAGTTTTAAAATAATGTATGAATAACAGCAAACATATAAAATAGCAAAAACATGTTTCTGTTGTAGTTATTTACTTCTCTAAAATGTTTGGCTTGTAGAACTGTCATCATACATAAGAGAGCTGACGATCTCCGATTTAAATGTCTGCTTTACTCTACCGAAGCTGAAAAATGTTTTGGTGTTCAACATTTATGGAGGCAAACATGTCAGGAGAAAGGGCAGAGAGTGTAACAGATCCACCCAACAAAAGCAGCCTGACAGCCTCCACGGGGGACGGAAGCGGGAGACAGTCACGAGCACAATGTTGCTATTACACAGCACATGTATTCTGGTGCACAGACACAAACATATTTACAGCTTTCCACCTTCTGGCACTAGATGACATTTCAGCACCTTGTTCAGGCAAAAAAAAAAAAAGGTAACCCTTTCCCATCTCAGAACTGTGTATCCACTTGCACACATGCTGCATGTCATCTTGCACCTGTCAGTTCATCAGATCCCATTCTCTGTAAATTACTCTTCCGCTCTCTGTCCTTGATTTTGTTTCCGTTATCTAAGAAAGTGGTTATCAAACTCTTTTTATAAGAAGCATCGACTCAGTAAATGGCGGCGAAAGTGGTACAAAAGGCTTTCTTCCATTTGTTGTCTTATGTCATACAAACAAATATCTTTATGTTGATGAATGTTGTGTAACTATCCATCCATTCATTATCTTACACTCTTAACCCTAGTGGGGTTGTGAGGGGTGCTGGTGCCTAATGACTAAGTTTAAAGTTGGCAGATGTTAGGAGAAATGTCCTTCCGTTGTGAAATTTAACTTTAACTGTTGATAATAATAAATGAAACATATGTCTTCATAAAACGACAAACACCTGTTTGCTTTATTAGAAGAAAAAGGTACAGTACAATTCAAGATTTCTTTCTGTTTTGTCTGTTTTTGTTTTGTTTATCACCACCAAGTAAGATGAGTCACACATCCTTTAAAACTCTCTTCTGAATCTGGCAAAGGTTGTTATCAATGTTAACTTTGATACATTTACAGAATCTTGTAGCTTCATCAAATGTGTGATGGAATAATTTCCGGTGACAGTTATGTAAAATGTAAAATGGTGCTCTGTTTAGCTAACGCTGACTCACTATTTAACACTGGGCCTGTTTAGCTGAAATAAACACATAAGCTGATAAATGATTATTATGAATATATGGAGTGGGGAGAAAGTAATTTATGGTAGATGCAACACCATGATTGAACAAACAGAAACACAGAAGGTAATAACAGCTTCAGTAGGAGGAGGTTATGTAACATTTTGTTTGCCCATTTCACTCTGCTTTTTGTAATACGAAATGCTGCTTCTGCAAAATGAACCAACCAAACTCAGTGTTTGTCCTCAGATGTAGTCAGCAGTTAGAACTGCATGCAGCAAACAAAAATCATAGCCTGCCCACTACTTGAATTTTTTTCTTGCTCAGGTCTGTGATGTTTTTTCGTTCTCTCTTTCTCTTGCAGTTCCGTCACACCTGAGCTGACCTTTTGCTGCAATAGACTCCACCTTTCAAACCTGATCATTCTGCATATTGGTGGGAATGGCACTAGGTAGATAAGATAAATGTAACATTTTATGCCTTCTGTCATTTTGGATGGTGAACCTTTTATATAGAAAGTCATGAGCATATTATGGTTGACAGAAAGGATACAGACAGTCAGGATCCTATTTTCCTTTATGGAAACAACACACATCATGCTCCATTTGATAAAATCATTACCAGCAGCCATGCGAGTCAAGCTGATGAATAATGTATGGGCTGCCAAGGTACAATAATACGTTTCCTCTGGCCTGCTACCTTTCTCTTAGTCACATTAGCAAGTGGCTGCACTATCCAGTGCTCACAGCCATATCAGCTAATACCTGTCTTGCACGATTACATTTTCCATTAGCGTACAGTGTCTTTATGCATGCACACGTTGCATTAGCATGTGCACACAATCCTATTGTGAGTCCAGAAAAACATAGATAGAAAAATACATCGAATAGATATAGTGAATAATACAACTACTCTTATTCACAGCTACAACGCATGTGTGTGATCTGCCAAGTGGGAGTAAGCAGACATCAGGTGTTAGACCTCAGCCCTCCATTATGAAAAAACAAGAAACTGGGCCATTTATCTGATATAACAAATACATCACAAGGCCTGGTGTGATGTGTAATTAAGGTAATTGATAAAGTGTAGCTTTTATGTCTTTGTGCACGCTCAAGTAGACACAAAAAGGATTAAATTAACCTGTATGGACAACACCCTTAGTGCTCTTTTTATATATATATATATAT